CATCAATTGAAATTGCAATCACATAAAGAATCAAAACCTTACATTGTATTTTATAAAGTTGCACCAGAAAATCTGATTTATTGGATATCACAATGATATATACAATTCTTGACGAACTTTGAATTCAAAGCCAAATCTTTTTTTTTTCACATGACTAGATGAGATATCACCAATCATATTTGTCATTTCCTATTATGAATCTTCACTTATTGACTTTTAAAGAGGTATTATTATGACATAAAATTAACTACGTAGAAAAGACTTTTGTAGCTCCTCAAGTTTGATTTTGATTCCGTTTGTCTGATATACGTCTAGAATACAATATTGATTTAACCAGCCAAGAATATTTGGGGATCTATTTTGGAGAGGGGGTCATATGGGTATCTGACTAATATGTATGAAAGAGCCAAAGCAGCACTGACCCACCTCACACCCTCCCCATCTTCTCCTCCCGACATTTCACATTCTCCCAACACTTTTTGGTTGCAACTATATACATTAACATGCATACCATACTGTTAACTATATATATATAGTTTTATACATCTATATAACTATCGATATTTCAGTGGATAAAATTTCCCAATTAATTACGTTTTTTGTTATCTTTAATTAAGTAGATTTTGCTTAGTCAGCATTAAAAAAACATTTTAAAACTGTACTTTGGAAAATTTGAATTCACCACATGGTTAAAGGTATGCAGTACAAATTATTCAGACTCTTTGTCTCCCATATACACTAAGTAGATCAAGATTACAACACATTCATGTGAATATTATATAGAAAGACGAGTTTATAGAATAATTAAAAAGTGTCTACTAATTAAATTCAGTAACTGTCAGTTTTTGGCGTTATTAGATACAGTATATATTAACAAAAGGCCAGCTGAACCCAGCATAGATTAATTCTTTTTGTCTGGACAATTAATTTAAGAACCAAATTCGTTTAAGAAAAATAAGGGAATAAATATAACTTTTTCTCTTAAGTTACTAAAGAGAGAAACATTCTAATTTAAATTATTTACGTACTATTTTGGTTAGTTTGTTCAAAAAGTAAAGATAATTACACCCAAAGTCATGTTTGTAGTTAGTTTACGTCAAACCGTTCAGAGTATCTTCATCCTCAATCAATAATTTATTCCATTTTATTTAAAATAATGAAATAGGAAATCAAGTAATAAATAAAAAATAAAATATTATTCTATTTATCGAAGAATATTTTATTTTTTTGTACAACATTCTATTTTTCACTTAATTTTGGAATTAATTATGTAATATAGATAGATATACCCTTAGATGTCTATAGAGATTTAATGATCTTTGATGTGTGAGCGTGAAAGTTTGATTCATTTTAAGCATACTAATAAGCTTCTTTTGTTTACATCTTCTTTTTCAATTCATATAAAAATATCAAAATTTTAAAATTGGGCAAGTGATAAACGTTGTTTGAGTTCAAACTTGTTGGAATTAAGCTTCGGGCTGTTTATAGATTGAGCCAGCGTTTTTTTTTTTTTTTGAAATCCGTAGCCAGCGCGTGTTACTGACTACTTATAGACTGGATTATGATCAAAACCCTAAGTTTTTCTCGTATATTTGCACGTAAGTTTTTTTTTCCTAATCCAGAGTATCTTGACTCTATCAAAGTGGTCTAGACTAAAGTCGAAGCGAGTAAGGACACTGTCAAAGCGTCACCATGTGACTCACTTATAACTATTTTTGATCTCGAATGCTGAAGCCCATATATAAATTCTACCGTGGCCAAGAATCGAATCCAAATATGAATATTTCAGTAAAAGTTCTTTTACCATTAGACCAACGCAACTTGGTTATTTGCACGTAAGTTCATACCATCAATTTAAATTAAACTTAAGTTGTACAATTAAAGTCAAAGATATGATATGCACTGTTGCAGTATCTACTGTGTAAATCATATAAGTTTACTATACATATAGAGACTTTGTTGTATTGGTAATGTACGGAGATTACTGTAGAGGCAACATGCTTTGCAGAACTTAAACTATTATAAGAAATGGGGACAGTAAACAAATATTAAAAGAATTTTGCTTTAAGTTTTAAAAGTAGAGTTAAACATCTTTAACTCGAAACTTGTCTGCTAATTCAATGGAAAACTACAAAGTTCATTCCAGTTTTGCATGTCAGACACTGTCGTTTTTGTCAGTAAGCGACCAAACTAATAATTCCATGTTTAACTGGTTAAAACTCATTTGATTTTAGTTCATTCTTTATACTTGAGTAGATATTTTTTGGTTTATTCATAGTAAAGACACCTAATATTTTGCTTGCTTTTTAAGATTTTTGAGTTTTTCCGAGAATGAAAAGGAAAATAAAATGGATCTCTTTTGTTGTTATTTTTGTTACTTCTGTAAAATGCGAACAAGTCAGACGCTGTTAATGAATAATGATTGGTCATGTAGACTGACTTGAAAAGAAGAAAAAAAAGACTTGACTTGAAACCCACTCTTTTTCCTTTTCGTTAGGAATTAAATGAAACTATTAATTTCCTTTGTTTTATAGGTCGTCACATTTATACATAATATTTTATCGTCCGTATTTGTCAGACCGTACCTTTGCCTCTGTGAATACGCGATTCATGTTACACTTTAATACTTCTACTATCAGTAACCGCATGACCAATATCAATATATGTAGGTAACATTTGTTTGTATTAAAAATATATTGGAAAATCGAAGTACTGTACATATGGGATTACAAAATAAGTATAAAACGAAACAATGCAACATACTTAATAAAATGGTCCTTTCTAAAAGAAACAAGCGTAATTTTAAATTGTAACATGTAATAATGTAAAAACAATTAAATGCTATCTAATTTTATGCAGGTTATATAATACTTCGTGTTGGTGAACATAATTAATACACAACCATTTTTTCAGACTCATAAGTAACAAAAGGAGTAAACCGAAGGTAGACGGGATGCTAATTTTCTATATAATAACAAGTTAGGGAGATCAATACAAAACCACTAAAAATGATCAAATATATTTGCTGTAGTCTGTAGATGTATTTATCCAACCACGAAAAGCACATCCACCAATTAAATTTGAAATTGAAAATGGATTATATATATTATTGAGTAAACTGGTATATATAGTAACACTTTTAGTAACAATAGTTGAAAAATAAAAGAGTTGTCGAAATAGTACAAAGACAGCTAATACAAGACCTGAAGCAGGGAATCTATTGTCTCTCTTTCTACCAGGCAAACTAACGTGCTCTCCATTCACGTTAGTACTCGTTGTAGTTTGTACCTTTTCCCTAAACGGCCAAACTGATGTCTTCTTGTTTTTTTTTTCATTTTAATATTAGGTAAATATTATAGATATATGCATATATTTAGCTGAAATAGATCTGCTATACTAGTATAGCTGTTTAAAGTTAATTAAATGGATTTGTGTCGTTTATTAGAAATTTTCTAGTGTAATATTTCTTTTCCTGTCAACTACATCTTTTTTTTTTTGAATTATACAGAGATATCCTGGCCTCACAGAACTGATCCAGACTAGTCACGTGTTGCGATCTGTCAACTACATCACTATAAGATAGTATATACTATATAGAGTATATAATATTTTAGTTTGTTTTGAGACTACATATGGTTAATATAGCCTCTAGTGGAATCGATTATCTTAACTGGCTATGTCTACTCAAAGTGACAAATTACTTTTTCATCAACCCATATTTTTATCCCCCACCAAACATGTAAATTAAAAAAATGACCTAATGAAATAATTTTAAATATGTAATGTTGGTTGTTAATTTCACTTGCGTCCTTAAGAAAAAAAAAAGAAGAAAAAGCTCCATTTCTTGTCTCCCTGATTATCATTACATGGTCTTTGTTTATTATTATTTTTTACTTGTTCTTCAAAATCAGAGCTTTTTTCTCAAAAAAAGAAAAACCTTTTTGATTTAAAACTAATTCATTCGGCACAACATCCATGACATAATTAAATTGGGCCACACGTTGGAAGAACCCACTAGTTATAGGAATATAATGGAACCATATTATATGGGCTTTAATGCTTAATTACACTCACCTTACAAGAATATTAGTATCCAAATTTCTGAACCTATAACAAGTCTAAAATCAATCTTTGTAAGCTTCGATTCAAGAAACAATTCGTACAAAATACATCACAACCATATTCTAAAGTTATGAAATTTTCTGCCTAATTATTTAACTATCGATTACAAGATGATCAAATGTAGCAGAATCACACATCAGAGATTCAGAGTATACTATAACCTAACAACATATTTACAAACATTTTTCAGAAAAAAACATAAGGAAAGTTAAATCCGTAAGTGAGCTCAAAACTGATTTGTCATCACTATCCATATATTGTAGATGTTAACTTTACATCCCTTTCATTGATTTATAATACACTGATAGTTAATGATCGAGAAACTTTTTAAATCAAATGATATCTAAGAATTAGCAAACAAAAATATGATTATCTAAGAAAAAGGTACTTAAATGGAATGTAACGAAAAAAAAAGATCGATGATAGTGTAGTGAATGATGGTCTCCACACATTGGTACCTTGCAACCTCCAAAATAAAAGTCGTCATCACAGTGTCGTGGCTCATGAGTCCTTTGGGCTTTGGCCCACACTACAAACAAAATGTCGTTGAAAATTTTAATCGCTTCTCGACAAGCAATACAATTTACTTTTTGGGTTTTCATCAATAAATTACATCATTTTCTTCTTTTAAGAAAGCAACAAATTAAGAAAACAATGATAAAACATCTCAGATTTTAACGAGATGATGATAAAATCGAGGGAAAAACGAGCATCTTTGTTAAAACCAAAGGCCAATAATATCCACAGTGATAACGATAAACCCATCGATATTAAAAACCACAGAAAGTAAATACTATAATAATCGTTAAAATAAAAAAATCAGCACTAAAATCTAAGCGATGCGCATTTATCACTTCTGGCACTGTCGACACCTCATGGCATCAATTGCATTCACGAGACTCCCCCAAAAAAACAACTACCTCCAAAATCTCCGCTCAGGGTCAGTTAATACCGGGTTTAAACCGAAAACCCGACCCGGTTTCCATTCTTTATCCTCCTTGACTAAGCATCGCCATTCTCTTTCGTCGAACCTGAGATTTGTTGTTCAAAACCAAAAAGACCTGATATTTTAACCCGACCCGGATTCAGTCTTTTATGCTTCTTCTGCAGTGATAGGCATCGCCAGTCTCTCTCGTTCGAACCTGAGATTTTGACCCGACCCGACCGGTTTAACCCGAAACCCGACCCGGTTTCAGTCTTTTAAGCTCCTTCTGCAAGTGACACCATCGCCAGTCTCTCTCTCATTCGAACCTGAGATTTTGACCCGACCCGGTTTCAAATCCTAACCGCCATGGACTTCTCTACAACGACGACTACTTCCACGGCGGCGAACGGTCACACTTCTCCGCGAGACTCTTCAATCCCCTCAAGCTTCACAAAGTTCAACTCCGCTCTAACGGCGGGCCTCCTCAACCCGATGTCACCTCCTCCTCCTCCTCCTCCGACGATGCACGACAAGTCACGAGCAAGTCCGACGCTATTCGAGATGATGTCCAGCGAAGCCGGATCTCCCGTTCAGATCCAAAACCTCGTCCTTCCATCGTCCTCTTCCTCGAGAACGACGTCGAATCATCTCGTAATCTCAGCTCAGGACAAGCAAGCGCTCGCAATGCAACGGATTTCGAATCTTTTAGTGACTCGGAGCCCCGGGAACCAGTTCAACGACCCGGCTTCGAGCGACGTGAAGCTCACTCTGAGCTCTAAGGATGGGATTAGCATCACGATGTGTGTGCACAGGCAGATTCTTGTAGCTCATAGTAGGTTCTTCGCTGTGAAGTTGTCGGATCGTTGGTCGTCGTCTCCGTACATTGTTGAGATCTCGGATTGTGATGACGTGGAGGTTTATATAGAGACGTTGATGTTGATGTATTGTAGGGATTTGAGGAAGAAGATGATGAGGCAGGACGTGTCTAGAGTTCTTGGTATCTTGAAGGTATTGTTAGAAAAAAGATTTTGAGTTTTTTGTAATGAATGATTGAATCTTGAATCTTGTTTTTGTCAGGTTTCGGCTGCTATTGGGTTTGATGCTGGAGTACTGTCGTGTCTTGAGTATTTGGAAGCAGCACCGTGGTCGGAAGATGAGGAACACAGAATTGCTTCTTTGTTGTCTGAGTTACACCTTGAGAACGTGGGAGCAACGGAAGTTTTGAGAAGGGTTTCTGTAGAAGCTACTCACAATGGGAGCAGCAACGATGAGGTGCTTTTGAATCTTTTGCATATAGTTCTTGAAGGTAAAGACGAGAAAGCTAGGCGTGATATGAAAACCCTTGTTTCGAAAATGCTTAGGGAGAACTCTTCTGGTAATGATCTTAGGAAAGAGTCATTGTATTTAGCTTGTGATGGGTGTTTGCATAAGCTTAAGCGTCAGTTTCTACAAGCAGCGGAGTCTGATTTGGAGAATGTTGATCAGATTGGGAGACAAGCGGATAATCTGCATTGGATTCTGGATATTTTGATTGATAGACAGATTGCAGAGGATTTTCTTGTGATGTGGGCTTCTCTCTCTGAGCTATCTGATGTGCACGGTAAGGTTCCCGTTGTTCATAGGTTTGAGATAAGTAGAGTGACGGCAAGGATTTTTGTTGGAATTGGGAAGGGGCAGATTCTGACTCCAAAGGAGGTGAGGTGTTTGTTGCTGAGGAACTGGTTGACACCTTTCTACGATGATTTTGCGTGGATGAAGAGAGCGTCGAAAGGGCTTGATAGGTATTTAGTGGAGGATGGATTAAGCAATACCATTCTCACTCTTCCTCTTGCTTGGCAGCAAGAGTTTTTCTTGGCTTGGTTTGATCGGTTCTTGAACTCAAATGAAGATTGTCCTAATATCCAGAGAGGCTTTGAAGTTTGGTGGAGAAGGGCGTTTTGGAGAAGGAAAGAACAGAGTCAAGAGCCTCCGCGGCTAAGAGTCATATCTTCAGGCTCTGAAAACTCTTGAGAGATCTTGTTAAACCCTGTGTGCTGTTTCTTGAGGATCACACAATGAGGAAGAAGATGAATCCAAATCCAAAAAAAAAGAGAAGGTTATGTGAGATATTGGACTCGGGATTGGGGAATGATGAAAGGAGATGTGCAAGCTTAATCGGATTTTAATACATCGATCACGATTAGAATTAGTTTTTGCATGAACATGATCGTTGGAAGTAGTTTTCATTTTGATTGAGCCAGAGCTCGTTTTTTTTGTACATCTCTCTCTTACGTTTTTCTTATCTCCAATGTATCTGAAAAGTAACTTTGAGGTCAAACCACTCTCTATGCTTTCTCTACTTTGGTTGCGGTTTTTAATTCTGATTATAATCTTGGTCAATTTAGCACGCAATAGTTGAGGTTCTTTGTCTTCTTGTTTCGTACTACTAAAATGATGTTGAAAAGTTATTGCTTCACGTACACCATTTAAGGACACTTTAAGTTTGTAATAAGTACATAAACAAAGACTTAAATATGATGCCATAACAGAAAGAACATAATCAAAGGTTTTCAATCTCAAGTATGGTCTTGAAGCTAATATCGACATTAACAATGTTATATGCCTGATATGGACATCAAAAACAGTGACTACCTGAAGAAACAAAGGGTATACTACAAATGTTTATATGATTATATACAAGAAAATGTAAAATTCAAAAAGCTCTTGGTGGATCTTGTGAATAGAGATGTTTGATGTTAAGCAAAGAGTTAACAAAGTATATCTTATATTGTAGCAATGTTAATACCTCATGAAGATGGTAATCCAAACCACATGAAATAATATCTTGGAGTCACAAACAAACATATACGCATAGGAACGTTTATATGCAACAAATGATTATCTGGGCAGTTACTAAGTTGAACAAAGTGAAAAATGGTATTAGATTACATTGCAGTTGAGCCTGTTAAGCTCACAAACTGCTTTTCATATTCTCAAGACCTGCACATTAATATACTCATGAACCCAATGAGAAAGAGTATATATCAACACAGTTTATATACCTCTGCTTCACTAGCGTCACCGGTAAGGGTGACATTAGCTCCGACCCTTAACAGCTACTAAACAGGGGAAGAAAGTGCCAGCTCCTAGCTGCAAATTACATCAAAACAAGTCGAAGAGAGAGTAAATAGATCAAAACAGGTAGCCAAAAGACAGTTTTTGTTATCAACAAACACACTGGTTCAAAACTTTGAAACAGCAAAAGCCAAGCAGGTTCTGAATATTTATAAACCAGAAGCAATTAATAAAAAAATGCCTATTGTTGTAGCTAGGAATTGAAGCCATTACCTACATCTCAATTTTGATTTTCATTAACCACTAAGCTATTTAAAGTTTTTAAAAAATTTTGGCCAATATTTTCCACAAACAAAAAGGCTGAAAATTAAGCTTTCTTGGCTTCCCCCTCAGGGCTGCTACTGCTTCAAGGTTAATAAAAAAGAAAGTGATCCCAGACATGGAGCAGACCCATCAGTGCCATCACCAGTGGTTCACCACCCATCGGAATCGAAAGGCATCTTGAGTCTTAACAAGACAAGAAGAACCCAACTGACCACAATTCGTCTTCAAGTCATCAAGAACACAGCATGTGAAGATGGACCTGCGAGGTGGTTTCCTTCAAGGATGAAAACTTTTCAAAAAAGAAGCAATAGATGTAACAAAGTCTTGACTGATGTAACAAAGTCGGTGTTTCATAAAATAAAAAGATGTAACAAAGTCTTGATTGAATTTATGTTAAAGAAAAAAAAAGCTCTTGTTTGAATACAGTTTTACTTTCATTTGAAAAGAAAAAGAAATTGTGAGTTGTCCCACATCGGTAAACTAGTTTAGTAGAGAAGAAAGAAATTGAGAGTCGTCCCACATCGGTTAGTTTGGGAAGTGAGGGAATGATTGGTTGGCTATAAAAGGATTAGCGATGGGTTAGTTTTAAAGCATGATCCTTCAGGCAAGTTAAAGGGGAGATGATGAGTGGTAAATAACTCGCTAATTATGCGAGAAGAGTGTTTCGCTCCGCCTGTTACGACAATTGAGCGCTCTCTTTCTCTTACCATCTGATCCCTCTTCTGAATTAATAGCTTTTCTTTTGTTTTTAAAATTTTTGTTTCTAAAACTGTTTTATTTTTAACTAAACTTTTTTTTTTGCTGATGCCTTCTTTTTTTCCTTTGGAAAGTTTTCGTAAGTGCTTTAGGTCAATATTTTTCTTCACAATGGTTTTCTTAAAGAATCTTATTTTTGAAACTTGGATTCGATCTGACATGTTAGACTTTTTTTTTCTGTTTAGAAACATTATTTAGTTAGTCATATTTGAGCTTGGCTTGGTATGATTAGGGCATCCACATCAATGAACCCCCTCTTGGGGTTCATTGAATCATTTTTTTATTATTAAAAATTTTCTGTTTTTTTTTTTGATTTTTTTTAGAAAAAAAAACAAAAAAAAAAATCTAGACCAATCCCGAGCCGCCACGTGTTGAACCTCAGGAGAGAGGGGTTCACTGCGGTGAACTTTAGGAGAGAGGGGTTCATAGGTTTTTCTTATTTTATTATTTTTTTTTCTTGATTTCCGTGTGAACTCCCCCCGTGAACCTTCAATGGGGGTGCTCTTAGTATCTAAGTTTAGAACAAAGTCAAAATCGATTCTAAAAATCATGGAAAATTTGTTCGTGCACAGTGATGAAACCGTTTATATAGAGATTACTGAATCATGTATATAGAGATTACTGGAGATCCAGTTTACAATACTTATGATGATGAATATGAACATTTCAACATATATATAAAGTATCGCAAGGCATCACCGTGTATAGAATTAATAATTAATGATCTGTAGAATTAATAATTAATGATCTGTTGTATCTGAGAATACATGTAAAACTATGATAATTACAAGGATTTTGTTTCATTTAAAAATATCTAAGATTTTTTTTTTTGGTGGGCAAACGGGAGAGATATCTCCCTGTATTATTTAAAAAAGTTCAGCAACTACGACATCACAATATGCCTAGTACGAGAAACGCCTAGCACGTCATCGTCAAGAATCGAAATTACATCAGGTGGTGCAGAATCAAAACTATGAATCCCTAAAGGTAAAGTAAACGCATAGTTGGCCAACCTATCGGCGAGACGGTTAGCTTTTCTATACACGTGAACAACTCGGACAATCCAATCCTTTGAAAGAAAGCCATGGCACAGACGTACCAGGAATGACAGTGGGTGAGTCGCCTCAATTCCTGTCTTAAGAAATCCAACCGCAAGTGCTGAATCCACCTCCAGCTCCAACCTAGTAACCCCCTTTCCCACGCCAGTACCAGTCCATAATAGACCCCCCACAATTCCGCCAAAGGAGCTCTGCATCGTCCAATATTTAGTGAAAAACCGCCGCACCAATCGCCAAGACTATTTCTCAACACTCCGCCTGCAGTTGCCTCGCCTGGGTTTCCATGTGATGCCCCATCTGTATTTAGTTTAATCCATTCATCTCTCGGAGCTTCCCATCCTATGCTTCTTTCCTCACGTCGCGTTACACACTTTGGTTCCCCTATGGCGCCTGTTGCTCTGGTCACCTCTGCTGCTTTTTCCTTGACAAATTTTACTCTGTCCCTGCACAGCCGGTTATCTCCAAAGACATTACCACATCTCCATTTCCACGCCCACCATGTCGTTACTGCAAAAAAGGTGGACCATACGCTATCTCCTATCTTCTGGTTATCTCCTAGATTCGAAAAGAGCCATTGGAGAAGTGACTGGTTAAAGAAAGTCTGCCTTTTCCCCATCGGAACCACACGATTCCATATTCCCTCCATCGCCGGGCAATCCCTAAGAACATGTAGAACTGTCTCCGTCGCACCCCTACAGACTTCACACATACTCGTAGCTCCCAAATGCCTTCTGTGTCTCTCAAAATTAGTCATGATAACTTGCTGTCCAGCTAGCCACAGGAAACATCGCACCCTCTCCGGAGCCACGACAGTCCAAATGCTTTGGTAGAACTTCTCCATGTTCTGTCTTGGTGAAACCATAGACGTTAAGAACCTGTAGGCCGACTTTACGGAGAAGCTTCCATTATTCGTACCTCTCCAAGCAACTCTATCCTTCGCTCCAGTTACATAATCAGGCACGACTGAAAGGAGCTCAAGTCGTTTATCCTCTGCCAGATACGGAGCAATGTTCTCCAAATCCCAACCGATGCCGTCTTTCCACAGATCTTTTATTAGTTGGTTTTCTTGATCTTGTGGCAAACTAGATGTGCATGACAGTATCAGAGGATCATTTGATAGCCAAGTATCTAGCCAAAACTTAATTTGTCTTCCATCACCTAGTACCCATCTATGTCCTTGAACCACGACCTCCCTTAGTCCGATACCCACACTTCTCCAGGTAGAAGACCAAGTCCCTTTAGGAATCATCCATTTCGTGTCTTTGAGATCACCTACGTTGTATTTCTTTCTCACCACCTGAGCCCATAGACTGCGTTCGTTATTCAAAACTCGCCATCCAACTTTTGCGATCAGGGCTTTGTTCATTTCTTTTGATCGCCGGATTCCTAAGCCTCCTTCACTTTTTGGTTGGCAAACTTTGTCCCATGACACAAGATGAAGTTTTCGTCGGTCTGAGGAGCTCCCCCAGAGAAAGTCGCGTGCAAGTCTGTCTAGTTGATCAAGGGTGCTCTGTGGAAGCATAATTGTACTCATGGTATGAACTGGGATCGACGATAAAACGCTCCTCGTAAGTGTCAGACGGCCTGCAAAGCTCAGCGTCTTACTTTTCCAGCCTGTAAGTCGAGAGGAAACCCTCTCAAGGACCTCTCCAAAGGTGTCTTTGTTGATCCGCTTCTGTAACACCGGCATGCCGAGGTATTTGCCCAAGTCACATGTTGATTGGATGCCACTATCGTCGCTAATCATTCTTCCCATCTCCCGCGAAACATTTGCAGAGAAGAATATCTTGGATTTCTCCAAATTAACTTTCTGACCAGATGCTATACAAAATCTTTCCAGAACACCTCTAATGACCCGTATCTGAGCAACGGAGGCCTCTGCAAATAGTATAAGATCATCCGCAAACAAGATATGGGAGAGCGTTGGTCCTCCTCGTGATAGTCGTATAGGTTTCCAATTGTTCTCCGCAACAGCTCCATCGATAAGGTGACAAAGCCGTTCCATACACAGAACAAAGAGATAGGGGGACAGATTCTTTAATCGAAAACAAAGAATGATGAGAGAACTCTCATTTTTATTAAGTTTCATATAAGAAAGCCATAGGAACCTTAAAATATTTTCCAAATATTCTCTCTGCATCAAACATGAAGTTGTTTAAGATCTGAAACAATTTTACTGTTGTTTGATTTTAAATTGAATTCAAAGAGATATCTATGTTGAATATTTTGTCCATGATTTAAAACTCTTACAAACATGTACGAGTACTTAAAAATGTGTAAAAGGCAGGACATGTGCCATATAACATACACGAAAGATAAACAGAAATTTACAGTTCATGGATTTTATCGTTTATTACTATCAAGAATTATCAAATATTAGACTAGGGAGATATTGTGGCAACATCTAGTTGTGTTGCGTTATCCAATAGGCACCGCATTCACTATGACGAGTTGGATCTTAGCTCTTTCATTGCTGTGTTTGGCCTTCATGGACTCATATCTCATCAATGAGGCTATTATTGGCGTTGGATCCATATTCATAGCTCCCATCATTGTGGCTGTCATTGTCGCTGCTTGGTCGGATTCAGATTCAAAGCTGTTTTCGTCAGTCAAAAACTTGGCGCCACATTCAACAACGTCGAAGTCGTTGAATTCGCTACTGAACTCGAACGATATCTCTCTCCTAACTTCATGAAGGCCTTCGTCTTGTTCAAACAAGCCAGAAGGAAATATAAATAGATGTTCCCTTCGACATCTGGATAGGTTGAAGTAGACCACCTTGTCTTCAGAGTTTGCCAAGTCGCCATTGACTATGCAACGACATAATAGTTGTGAAGTTTCTCTGATTTGATGGTTTGGTAAGAGCACGAGGCAAACCTTGAATCTTGTGAAAGAAGAGGGAGGAATAGTTAAGGAACTTCCTCTGGCTCGATGATCGAACTCTGCTGGTACTTGTCTTCCTGGTAAGAAAGCAGACCCGAGACAAAACCATTCTTGGATAATTGCTTCTTGTCGCAATTTAAAGCAGTTTGTGAAAGACATATTCGCATTCGGGTTGTGAAATGGGGAAGCAACTTCCTCAAGTGATTCACAATCGTTTGCAGATAGGAGCATGAGCTGTAAAGGAAGCTCTGGCAATGACTTTAGTTTTCTGCATCCAGAAATCTTTAGCTCAAGTAGAAGATGAAGAGATTTGATGCAATCTGGAATACTTTCAACAGAAGATTTGCTTAGGTCTAGTTTAGTTACATGTGAAGGGAGATGTGTTATTCCCTTGAGCTTGCTACAGCCGATCATAGAGTAATCCATAGGACGAGTGCGAAGACTAGTTGATGCTGGCATATCTTCTACCGCTGTCTCTGATATATCCATTTGCTTGATGTTTGTTGACAAGAATGGAATATGTCTCAGTCTTGAGCATCCTTTTGTACTGACGCGTTTAAGAGATGCCAAGTTGATGTGAGCTGGAATGACTTGTAGGTTTATGCAGTGATCCATCCACAATTCCTTTAGTTTAGGAAGAGTTGAACAAGAGGCTGGAAGCTCCACCAAACTCTGGCAATAACTTAGATACAATCTTTTGAGATTTGTAGCATTTGAAAGATCTGGGAGCTCCTTCAAATGAAAAGACCTTCTCAAATCTATATTCTTGAGATTTGTTAGCAGCTGAATGTAAAACCACACAACAAGCAGAGAGAAAGAACATCATATAATGTGAAGGAGTACATATATACACTAAAAACTCGATAATTAATAGTTTACAAATGAATAAACACAATAAATTAATAAATTTCACCAGTTCCGAATTGAATTAATAAACACAATTCGACAAGAAAATAAAATAATATTATTGTTTTAAAAAATCGTACATAAATATATGCATAACTTAATAATTATTATATATATATAATTTATGTAAATATATACCATAGTTTGTTTTATTCAAGGTGAATTCTAGATTAATTATTTTCTAATTTTTTCTTAATATATTGATGTTACTTTTTCTATATATATTCAAGATGGAAGTATAACACCAACCTGAGTTCCTTGCCAGAGGTACTCGAGCTGGCTATATTGCATATCAAGTTCTACGAGATATTCAGGACGAAAGGTAGGAGGAAGACACTTGTTTGGGTATGCCTTCCAATCTAGTAACCTTAGACGACGAGGAAACTCCATCTCCTCAGGTATATGCATTACATCAATCCCATCTTCTTTGCTTTTGTATACTCTGAGGAATCGCAGATTAGGCATTCTTTTGAAAGCTCTTGGGCTTATAGATACTTCATCAATATCAGATATATCAAATGATATGCCGGAGACAACTCTAGCACCCTACACCATTATTATTCCAAATAAAAACATATATTGTTAGCACGATGAACAAAGAATATACAAGAGAAAAGGGCTTACTGCTGCATGTTCAAGAACATCACATATCTCCGGAGCATCTATCAAGATCCGACGTTTCCAAGGCTCTTGTTTATGGATGGCTTTTATACCCATTTGTTGTAGTAATCTGTGCATCGTTATTGTTTCCGTCTTGTTATATAACTCTATTAGAGATCTGCTTACAAGGATCTTCAACCCGTGTTTGACATCTAAGTCACTGTCAGCTAACATGTTTTTCACAAGATTACCGTTTTCATTGTTGAAGAAGACTGCAATGTGGAGAAATAGCGTTTGCTCATTCTCATCTAAGCTATCATAGCCGACTCTTAGTACTTGCTCGATATCTTGATGATCAAGATTAGTTTCTAGCCTGTTCATCACGTCTTCCCATCCGTCCACTTTCTTTCCGCGTAAAGATGAACCCACCACTCGTAGACCCAATGGAAGATTACCACAAAGGTCAGTTACTTTTAATGCAAGCTCTTGAAAACCATCATGTGGATAGCTTTGTCTAAAAGCATATCTACACAATATCTCATGCGCTTCTCCTCTAGATGGAAACTTCACATGGTATGTGTTGTTGATACCATGTTGCTGTAGAAGCTCTTTGTTTTCTGTGGTAACTATAACCCTACTTCCAGGACCAAACCAAGAAACATCTCCAGCCAACGCCTCTAATTGTTTTATATTGTTCACATCATCAAGAATGATGAGCACTTTGTGGTCGTGTAGCCTTTCTTCTATCACACCTAAATGGCATATCCTAATTCCATCTTGTTTCAAAATATTGGAAAGAAACTCTTCTTGTAAACGCAACTTCAAACCATACTCATCAAAACTGGTGGGATAGCTCCCCCTAAGATTGTCAACAAAACAAGTAAGCTGGAACCTATAAGAGTGCAAGCCATGGATTGCTCTAGCAATGGTAGTCTTACCAATGCCCGCAGGACCAGAGATTGCAACCACCTTCACTCCATAATTATCAAAATCTAGCAAAGACTTCATTTCTCTCAAATGGGCTTCAAGTCCAACTATGCCATCAAAATCCCTAGACGCTGTAGCATTCAGTTTATCTGAAACATCTCTGGCAATTTTCTTGATCATTTTTGCTTCATTTGACCTGAGGAAATAAAAAGAATTTATTTAATATAGTTTGGGTTTCCGGGTCTAGAACCTCCTAGTCACTAAATAAACAGAAAGAAAGAAGCAAATAGAACACCGTTCCGTTTTTCATATAACAAATCCATTCCCTAGAATTCAAGAAATAAAAAGTCAATTTACCATCTTAAGAAGTCTTCTCCAGCAATGTTACCCACTTGGTTCAAAGCTTTGCTCCATTTTTGCCTTTCCTCGTGCGTCTTACTTGCACAAGTTCCATTGAAAGCGATCCCAAATTCTCCGGTCTGTTTCCGTACATCGGATGGATCCACTCCGTAGAAGATGGTCATCACTATCTGCCCCATAGCTTTCTTGCACTCCAAGATCTCTACTAGTTCATTCAGACACCAGCTTGAGGAAGCATAGTTCTTCGAGAGAATCAGAAGAGAGATCCTAGCTTCTCTGATAGCTTCTGTGAGTGAAGGGGCGATGGTTGCGCTTCTCACAATCTCCTGATCATCAAACATAGTGATCCCGTTGTGGGTAAACTGTTCACGTATGTGACTGAGAAGTGTTTTACGGACGTCAGGACCGTGGAAGCTCGCAAAGACATTGTAGCTGTAGTTACGAGACGTAAAAGAGGAAGAAGAAGCCATGAGAGACGAGCTAGGAGACATGGAAAAGGGTAATGAGTATTCTTAAGATAAGTATCAGCTATATTGAAATTAAAATGTGTAATGGGAAAGCTATATAAAAGTTAAAAACAAAAAAGAAAATTAAAAGGGATGCTTCCTTGTATTTACGGAGTAGTTACGTGGTGGTTTTTTAAAGTTTGAAATAAGGTCACACAATGATTGTGGCATGACTAATAATCTCCGCTCACGTTAATTTCTAAGCATTTGTACATAATTCACAAAAGTAAGATATGGTTCCATAAAAGGACTTCACGTTAGAAACTTACTGGAAAGTACCAACCAATTGCTTCCTTGAGAAATTTCACATTTGGAAAATTTCATAACTCGTACAAAAGCAAAACATTTTAGAATATTTGATACAAAAAATTCAGATATCCGTAACTCGTACAAAAGTAAAACATTTTAAGATATTTGATACGAAAAATTCGGATATCCATAACTTTTCGAATCAAAACATATACTAAAATTCAGTATTCATTAAAAACAAGAACTAATCACTAACAGGGACTAATTATAAGCAGTTTTCAATTTTTGGATCCAAAAATACACAAATCAAACACGAACAAAGCAAGAAGAGATATTTTGTGCACAAACACGAACAAACAAGAAAACTTTTTTTTGAAATGGACAAACAATAAAACTTCCCGAAAAACACGAGTAAGGCATATGATCCATTTTAAGATTTATATTGATTACGTGAATAAATAATTTACAACTCCTTAAAGCAATATTTATACAACATCAAAATGCGGTTTTCATTTTTTTGTTGTTGTTGGTAATATCGATTTTCCTTTTTCCTTTAGAAAAGCTTTCTTATATATTAGAAGTGGGTTCTCAATCTTGATAACTAATCAATCTTTTGTCTAGTCAAGTAATATGAATTTTACCGGTGGATTGAAATTGAAACCACTTTCAGAATTAACAAGATCTATAATATAACGACAATAACCTTAATTAGTATCGAGATTTGTGATAGACACCACTAGGATAAATCTTGCGAGATGCTAGCTTATTCGAGAAAGCTAACTAAACTTTAACTCCGGTAATTCGAGAACCGAAAGAACTCCTTAATTTATTGATCTTTATTCGAAGATGATAGTGAAAGCTAGAGCCTAGAGGGTCTCTTACCTTGTACGCTAAGCAAAACACAATGGAAAAATATGCTAAATAATGGAAAACTACCAAAAGCAACATAAGTAAAATATCTAAAACCTTTGTCTTCCACTACATGTACATGTCTGTAGCCACTTTCCTTTCTATTCAAGACTTTTACGAATGCATTTGCTTTCAAGCAAGTGGTTGGGTCTATCAATTTGCTTCCTTGACATGGTCTTTAGGCAAATCACATAGCTTTAGACATACGCCCTAGTTATGTCCACATCCAGGTTTTATCGTCTTCTTCCGGAAACAAATCTCACCAATGGGAGAGATCGAAGCACATCAAAAGCCAACTCCAACAATCAGCACGTTCTCCACCGTCCACTTCTTCCGAGTAACAGACTACTTCATCTGTATGTTCGATGCCATCTTCAAAAGCTTCGCTAGATTCAAGCTCAATTTCTTCTTCTAACACTTGGTCGTCTAAGCCACATTCATTGCTCCCATTCTCGTCGGTCAAGATCCTGGCACCACAGTCAATGATACCGAAATCGTTGGACTTGCTGCTCAGCTCGAGTACTATCTCTCTGCTCATATCAGATGGGTAGAACTCTATATGTCGAGAGTCGAATACAAATAGATGTTCCCCTCGAAGCTTGTGGACTTCACCTACGTAGACCAACATTTCAACTGGATAGAAGTCATCCTGAGCTACGCCTATGCGACGACACAGCAGCTGGGAGAAACTAAACTCTTGCTGCTTAGGGGAAATCACCACGCAAACCACAAATCCGCTGTAAGGGTTACCGTCTGGACGAATGGTCAGTGAGGCTCCTCTGCCTCGGTGATCGAACTCTTCAGGAACTTCTCTTCCTGGTAAGAGTGCCCCTCCTATGAAGAATGATTGTTTAAAAATTGCTCTTCTTGCTTGATGACACAGTTTGAAGCAGTTGATGAAATTGAGCCGCGCATTTGGAGTGTTCAAAGAGCTTGATACGGTTTCAAGTGATTCACAGTCTTCCGCTATTACGTTTTTGAGCGGACCAGGGAGATTTGGTAATGACGTGAGTCTTGCGCAGCCAGCTAGATTAAGGTTCCGTAGCTGATGAAGGGCTTTAATGCTATCTGAAATCTTCTCAATATCAGAATAGCTTAGGTCTAAATCTGTGACATTCTTAGGGAGATATGTTAATCTTTTGAGCTTTCCACCTTTGTTTATACTGAGAGACGTGAGACGAGTCCACAGCCTAGTTGATGCAGGCACATCTTCAACCGCTGTCTCCGATATACACAGTTTTCTGATGTTCGTTGACATGACTGGAATGCTACTCAACCTTGAGCATCCTCTCATGAAGACTTCATCAAGGGATGCCAAGTTCATGCCAGCTGGAATTAGTTGTAGGTTTATGCATCCAGTCACCCACAACTTCTGTAGTTTATGAAGATTCGAACAAGAAGTTGGGATCTCTACCAAGCTCTCGCAGCCTATTAGATCCAACTTTTCAAGATTTGTAGCATTTGAAAGATCGGGAAGTTCCTTTAAATGAACAGATCCTGAAAAATCCACCTTCTGGAGATTTGCAAGCGGCTGAACGTAAAACAATACAAGATACAAAGAGAAAGAGCATCATATAACATGACACTAAAACATTAACACCATATAGAACTAAAATGTGTTATTTGTATTCCATTATAAATCTTAGGGTATGTTACTGGTATTACATTTATAGTGATTATAAGAGTTTGAAAAATTTGGTGTTATTGGTTTATAGATTCTTATTAAAATCCACTGTTATTGGTGCGATGATTTTATAAATACTTACAATATTTTTTGTTATTCAAAAAGTTATAATTTTAATGATTCTACAAATCTATTAAAGTTAGTATTATTGGAGATTGTATTTATTAACCATTGAACTCACATAACAAAAATTTTAAAATATTACATATATCCCTTAAGTTCTTAAAATTATTATACTAATTTATTTTTCTTTGATTTTTACAATATCAAAAATTTTCTACAACTCTTTTCAAATTTAACAAATCTCTCAACTTTTAAAATCAACAAACTCTCTATAAATCATACTTCCAAATTTAACAAATCTCTCAAGTTATACACGTAAAACAACATCAAATGTATTTTTAGCATATTTCAAGTTTAAAAATAATTATTGTAAACGTAAATATTCAAATTAATATTAGCTACTAGATTTTCAATTCAAAAATTTAATCTAAATATAAGAAACTAAATTTATGTATATTAACATGACCAAATAAATATTTAAATGGGGCTGTGAATCTGAAAAGTAAAATTAAGTAATATTGTATATATAATTTTAAATTTTATCATAAAGACAAATTATATAGAATTATCATCTAAACCGAAGTATAATGATCAAAATCATTTATATTTTAAAAACCTTGTAATCATGACCAAAGTAGTTTTTATAAATTAAAACAGAAATTATATTATTATAGTACAACACCAACCTTGATCCCTTCCCATAGCTTCTCAAGCTTGCTATTCTTCATACTGAGTTCGACAAGATATTGAGGATTGAATGTAGGAGGAAGACACTTGCTCGGATATGCTTCCCAATCTAGTAACCTTAGTCCGCATGGAAACTTAATCTCCTCAGGTATATGCATTCTATCATTCCCATCATATTGTCGTTTGTAAATTTTGAGGAATCGGAGATTAGTCATTCTTTTAAAAGCTTTCTTGCTGATGGATAGTTCGTTGATTCTTGATATATCAAACGATATACCAAGAACAGTCCATGAACCCTAGTCAAAATTCCAAATAAATAGAAATTGTAAGCACCACAGCAAATGTTTAGTTTAAAAAAAATGACTTACAGAACAAAAATTATAGTACATATTTATATACAGGAGAAAGAACTTACTTTGGCATGTTGAAGAACATCACAAATCTCCCGAGCATTCATCAAGATCCGGCGTTTCCAAGGATCTTGTTTTTCATTGGCTTTTTTACCCATTTGTTCTAGCAATCTGTGCATGACTATTCTTGGCTCACATTCAACGGTTTCTATGATGAGAGATCTGTTTACAAGAATCTTCAACCCATGTTTGACATCCAAGTCGCTGTCATCGAACATGGTTTTCACGAGTTTCCAACTTTTATAGTTGAAAAAAACTGCAATGTGGAGAAATAGAGTTTGCTCATTGTCATCTAAACTCTCATAGCCTACTCTTAGTACGTCCTCAATATCTTGATCAAGAATAGTTCCGCTATCTCGATCAAGATTAGTTTCCAGCCTGCTCAGTAATTCTTCCCATTCATCCTCCTCCTTCCCACGCAAAGATGAACCCACAACACTTAGACCCAACGGAAGGTTACCACAAACCTTTGTTACTCGTGGTACAAGCTTCTCAAAACTATGGTTATGAGAGTTTTTGCCAAATGCATATCTACATAAGATCTTGAACGCTTGATCATCTGATGGAAGCCCCACACGGTATGTCTTTTTGATACCATGTTGCTGCAAAATCTCTTTGTTTTCTGTGGTAATTACAATCCTACTTCCAGGACCAAACCATGTAGTTTTATTTGCTAACGCTTCTAATTGCTTTAAATGGTGTACATCATCAAGAAAGATGAGCACCCTATGCTTGGATAGCCTTTCTTCTATTACACCTGAATGGCATATTCTAATATTTTCAAGGTTCAAAACATCTGAAAGAAATTGCTCCTGTAAACGCAGCTTCCAACCATATTCATCAAAACCACTATGACTGTTTTCTCTAAGGTTGTCCACAAAACAAGTAAGCTGAAACATATTAGAGATTTGACTTTGCAAAGCCCTAGCAATGGTCGTCTTACCAATGCCTGCAGGACCAGTGATTGCAACCATCAAAACTCCTTTATCATCTAAATTTAGTAAAGACTTCAATTCTTTTATGTGAGGTTCAAGTCCCACCATGCCATCAAAGTCTCTAGACGCTGTAGCATTGAGTTTATCTGAAACATCTCTGGCAATTTTCTTGACCATGTCCGCTTCATTTTTCCTAACAAAAGAGAAAGCACGTTTTCATCATATAGTCACATGATAACCTTCCTCTGTTCTCAATAGTTTATAACATGGAGTTCTAATAGGGCTGTTCAATATGGTAATACCGAACCGTACCGAACTGAACCGAACCGAACCAAAATAGAGAATATGGTTTGGATTTGATATATACCATATAAACCGAATGGATATGATTTTATAAAAACCATAGGATTTGGATATGGTTAGGTTTATAACCGATTAAACCGAATAAACCGAACAAAACCAATTAAAGAAAAAATATATAAATATATACGTTATATAACCATTTATTTTCTTGGAATAGTCTTTTTTTTTTAAAAAAAATTTCATTCCTTGTGAAGATATATCTTAATAATTTTATTTTATTTTCTTCAATTATTATTTAAATTTGATTTGATTTTGCATGTTGTAATAAATTGTGAAATTAGATTGTACCATGTAATTTATTTGGAAGAACAAAGAAAAAATAAGAAAAACTGTACAAAACTGAATCATTGGTCGTTTTGTTTGTTGTTAATTTCACATTTTTATATTTATGAACACCTAGTAATATTTTAAATAAATGATAGTTTTGACAATATGTTTTTAAAAAAAATTCATATAATATGAAACCAAATCAAATAATAATGTTATTTGGTATAAAACCGAATAAACCGAAAACCGGTAGTATAAATACCGAACCAAACCAAATTAAATATGGTTCCAATATGGTAGCTAATTTTTATAAACCGAATAACCGAAAACCGAAAAAACCGAACCGAAACCGGACCGAACACCAGATTGAACATGCCTAAGTTCTAATATCCATTCAGCAAAACGTTCCCTTTTATAACACCATCCTCTTGAAATTATTTGTAAAGTGATTTTGACACATGTCATCTTTACAATTATTTCCACCCAAAAAATGTTACATAGCATACTATAATTGATGACATCGCCATCGCTTATGGTTAAATGTGACATGAACAATTATAATTAATGCTGATTTCATTTTTTGGTAATTTTATAAAATATGGTAATAACTTAAAAATCATCATTAAAATAATTTTTTTTCAAATATGTCACTAAATAATATAATAATAGAAAGGGACGATGATTTTCTCTTTATTCATAAGCGATAAAAAACAAAGAATATACCCATTCTACAGTTGACAATCAGTGGATGGGACAATTTGTGCACAAACTTAACCAAAATCTTCTTCTAGCGCGTATGCATGATGTTGATGCTCAAAAACTAAACTATCATACTATACTACATATCATATAGTATAGTCACAAAAAGAACAATTCTAGTTACGAAGTTGAATTTTAGCCATTAAGTGACTATACTATACATGATTACGACATAGTATGGAAATTTGACACAAACAAATAGATATTTCATTTCTATGTATGTCCACAATGCATAATCAAATTGGAGAAGGGAGGGAAGGGTTCAAAATTTGGGAAGACACTAAGTAGAATTCTTGACAATAATGATCTTTTGCTAAATTGGAAGATAAAGAGGAGGATATGTGAACGATAATTGAGAGAGAGAAAGAGATTATAAAACTATATTTCTATTCTATATTTTTTAAATAGAATATAACATACCAAAATAGTTTATCAATGTGAATTATTATTTTCCGGAAGTGAATGATAAGAATCACTAGACGGAGGAGGAGTCTGATTAATGGAGAAGTTAGTGTCATTGTCACTGGTGACATTGTTAATATAGTAAAAGGAGGAGTAAAAGAAACCACCATAATAAATGAAAGAGAAGAAGAGACATACGACATACTATATGTGGTCATTTAATAGAATAGTACAATATTAACATTGTTCATCTTCTACAAATCTGAATTAAATCTTGATAGTACAATCCTCCAATATCAACTTCACTAGTCAATCCAAGCAAATGGAAAACACCTAAGTCACAAAACACAATAAAGACCAAAACATAATATAATCTTGTATTATATATTCTAAAATCATTTTTATGCGACAAATAGAATAAGAAAACTAAATAGGACTTTGCCATGGAATGACTAGAGGTGGTGCTGCTGAAATAATGAAATAAGAATTACGATGCGGAGAAGGAGATACAATTTGCATAGGATTTGGATGAGGTGTCGCTAGGGTTGGTGGACAAGAAGAAGAATCCACTGCGTGAGATGGAAGAGGGGAAGAAAAGACAATGAAAAGAAGTAAGGAAACGATGGATGGCGATAGAGAAGAATATGGTAGCGGTGGCTAAACAACTGGTGGTTAAAGAATTGGTTGTGGTAGCAATGTTAATAGTCGATAGTAATGAAATTATTCATGATGTTACATTTTTATTCTGTATGTATATATAAAATAAAATATTCTTTTAAAAGTTCATCTTCTTCGATCAATTTTACTAACAAGCAATAAGGATGGAGAAAATAACAGAGAAAAAATATATCTGATAACGACAAAAAGAATTGTATCTATCATCAGTGGAAGAATGAATTTTGTAATTAATAATGTTGGTAAAGAGGAAAAACAAACGAGGGAAACATATGAGAAAACATGAGATGAAAAAAAAAACTGGGTAATTGAAGAGAAAAATGAAGAAGAAGAACAGAATAGTGTGTGTGGGTTTTGAAGGTTAAAAGTGGTAATAATACATATTATACACTCAATACTCTAGCTATCACTTTCATATGGTTAGATTTTTTATATTTTTGTTTCTAATGATTATTACCCTTAAATTCTCTAATAGAAGTATAAAGTATTTTAAATTTTTTTTAAAATTATTTAAATATATATTTTACAATCATATAATTTTTATTATTAATTTTTTTAATATTTTACAATTTATTTTTAGAAATTTCAAATTTTAATCCTAATATCATTTGTTTCTTTTTGATATTTAAAAAATTAAAATGATATTTAGTTGTATATTATGATAATTATAAAACTTATATCATTTTTATTTTATACAAGTTAGTTTAATATATTTTAACCAAAATATAAATGAAAATCTATCTAAGTTTAATTTTAAATAAATTAAATTATTTATTTTATCTTAGTTTTATGTTTAACTAAATTAATATTTATATTAAAATATTAGTATAAAAATAATAAAATCTAAAATATTAATTTTTTTTTATTTTTAAATATATAAAAAATTAAAACTTTACCACTGCCCATAGTGCAGGAAAACCCCTATAACTATTTATATTCTCAGGATAACCAAAGAAAAAAAAAACTAACCATTTATTTTTAAATATAAAAAAAAATTAAAATTTTATTGCTGCCCATAGTGAAGGAAAATCCCTATAACTATTTATTTTCTCAATATAACCAAAGAAAATAAAAACTAACCATCTTAGGAAGTCTTCTCCAGCAATGTTGCTCACATCAGTCAAAGCTTTAATCCATTTATGCTTTTCCTCGTTCGTCTTACGTTTACAAGTATCCTCGAAAGCAATACCAAATTCCTCGGTCTGTTTCCGTACATTGGATGGATCCACTCCATAGAAGATGGTCATCACTATCTGTCCCATCGTTTCTTTGCACTCCAATATCTTCACCAATTCATCCAAACACCAGCCTGACGAAGCATATTTCTTGGAGAGAAGCACGATCGCGATCCTAGATTCTCTTATACCATTCGTGAGTGAAGGAGCTATCTCTTCGCCTCTCACCATCTTTTCATCATTATACATAGTGATCCCGTTGACATTAAACTGTTCACGCATGTGACTGAGAAGTGTTTTACGGACATCAGGCCCGTGAAAGCTCACAAAGACATTGTAACTCCAGTTACGAGTCGACAATGAAGAAGTAAGAGAAGCCATGAGAAACAAGAGAGAAGGAAAAGGGTGAAGAGAAGTTGAAGTCACTGTTTCACTTCAAATGATTTCCCGGAAAAATATATATACACAAAGTTTATTATAAAAACAGGGATCCATGTGTGTATTGTTGGGAACCGCATTGACTTAATCATATGAAATAAGATAAATGGTTTCTTGTTCTTTACCTCAAGAGTCAAGACTTATATCGATTTACGCAAAATGATAACCATAGATATGTAGTTCTTTAGTGGTGGTCTTTTAAATATATAGAAGAATTACGAAGTAACCCAACACTTGTAGTTTTTAAATCATATAGGAAGGAGAACATGAGCCTCCTTAAACTGTTGACAAGAGAAAGAGAGAGGGAGAGAGATCATAAGTCTATTCGCATTTTTATTTCTTCAAGTTCAAACTCCTAAAAGTAAACGACTTTTTATAAAGAAAGGAAAACTATTAATCAAACACTTGTTGTTTTTTTTTGTCATTGAATAAATAA